TCATTTGAACAGGCAAATGTTAAAAGTTTTTATATAAGAACAAGTTCCCTAGTTTTATTAACCTATGTATAAATGTCTTAATAATGTGCATTATTTTGAATATCTTTCTATAAAAATAGAAACTTGGTTTAAAAAGAACTTCCAGGACTTTCAGCCTGTTAGCAGCATTAGTGAGGAAGCAATCATAGAACTAATCTTTTTTGAAGGCTAGGCACATGACATAATCTTCCCCCCAACTCAATCTTTTTTTTGAAACTTTACATCAACTCTAGTTGGTAAAGTGTTATTTTTGTCATAGTGATGAAGGAATATGAACTTCAGAGAGGTTAGGTAACACATCTGAGGTCACAGAGCTAGTAATCAGACTCATTACTTATTCAAATCCATTCTATTATATTCAAAATATCCTTTCTACTTTATTATGATAAATTTAGAAATCCTTAACTCAAGCATTTTTCCTTTTGCAACAGTTAAAATAAAAATAGAAATCTATTTTTATGATACATTTTGTATAAGTGTTAAGCAAAATGCAGGAGAGACATTTTAAAGAAAATAATATACGCTATTGTATATTTGTCAATTCTGATTCTTTCATCCACTCTACAGCACTGTAATTGCAAGTCTTTAAGTTAGAAAACTGTTTCAGCTGAGAATCTTTTAATATCATTCTCTAGTAGAAAACATTACAAAGTAATTATTCCCAGTCCATATATGAGAAAACTGAGCCAAAAATAGACAGAGGCACCTCTGCGAGGTCATACAGTGAGGTGGAGGATAGCAATTAGAAGCACTGAGTTGCTGGTTACCACATATAGATTACGATAGGCCTGGTTGTTAAGAAGTCCTCCGTTAAATGCAATCAAATAACATCAAAGACATAACACATTTATATGTGTATAGTTGTATTTTTATAAAACAAAATAATGCCATGTGATTGGGATAACAATTCCAAAGAAGTCAGATGATAACTATTATCTAATATTTGTCTTCATATTTTTCTAAATCTATATAGGTGATTTCTTAGAATGTATAACTCAGCTCATTGACTTGATTTGTGACACTCAGGCCAGAGAAAACATGGCATCAGGAACTACAAATTCTTTTCAATTCAATGCCCAACGTGGGTTGGGCCTGAGAATTGACTCCATTATTGACTCCTACATAAACTCATGACAACTGTCTGGTCTTCATTAATTCACAGGCACTTACTGAGCACCACATGCCAGACGTATGCTAGGTGCTCAAGGAGTTCAGAGCCTAGGAGGACTTTGACTACCAGGCACTCACTCTATATAGCTGTGCCCCAGGACTTTGAGAATCAGCCTTGTTCTTTGTCATTGTCATCTTTACATTTTCTTCTAAAGTAGAACAGAGAGTAACATCAAACATCCTGACCCATTTCACTTGCAAAGCTTCAATTTTCCTAAAACTTCACTAAACCACCAACCCCAATGAAATTAACAAAACAAAGAAATTAAATATTCTCATATCATTGCAAGATGAAAATGATATTTTTTTTCTAAATTATTACTCTCTTACATATATGAGAATCAGGTTAAATTTCATTAGCTGGAATTTCATTGGTATTTAGTTGGTCATATTAAACACCTTTTGGGACACTTAAAGAAAGAAATACTTTACATTTTTTAAATGAGCTGACTAACGTTTCGTCATGGGTCATTTTTTCTGATTTTGGGTTTATGTTGTTTTCTTCAGGTTTTCTCTTTGGCTTTCTGGGTGTTCTCATGATCATACCAAGTTAGTATATGTAAAATTCTTAGACCAGTGCCTGGCATGTAGTAAATGCTCAATGAGTGTTAGCCATCATCATCATCATCATTATCATTATAAAAGTATTCTAGAAGCACTTAAAGTAATTCTATTGTGATTCCATTTGTCTGGAGCTTTAAAGACTCCCTTGTTTATCTTTGTGTCGACTTTGAAGAAGAACAAAAATAAGTATATCTAGACTATGTGAATTATAAAAACAATAATTTTACAGGAATCAGAATGCTCTGATTTTAGGATTTTTCCTCTTCTCAGTTGGCTTTGCATCCCTCAGCTAATTATCCTGTAGAACACACCATATTCTGCTGTGAAGTTTATGAGGTAGCCTTGAAATTAGAAAAAAAGACCTTTCCTTCCTGGGTTTAAGACCCACACATCTGAGGTGGTAGGCATCTTAGATATCTCTGGTGGATGGACCAAACAACATACCAATATCATGAGAAAACTGCTTTAAACATCATCTACTCTTTCACGTAAATTCCCTATTATTACTCGTCAAAAGTCACAGTTTCCGTATAAGTATTTCAGTGGTTCTGGGGTGTTAAAAAAAAAAAAGCAGTAGTAGACATGTCATAACACACATGACATTTATAACTAAAATAAACATGGAATAAAAGCATCTTCGGGCTTCCCTGGTGGCGCAGTGGTTGACAGTCCGCCTGCCGATGCAGGGGACACGGGTTCGTGCCCTGGTCCGGGAAGATCCCACATGCCGCGGAGCGGCTGGGCCCGTGAGCCATGGCCGCTGAGCCTGCGCGTCCGGAGCCTGTGCTCCGCAACGGGAGAGGCCACAACAGTGAGAGGCCCGCGTACCGCAAAAAAAAAAAATCTAATTTAGTATATGCTTTGTAGTGTGTGTGTGTGTGTGTGTGTGTGTGTGTGTGTGTGTGTGTAGAGAGATGAGAGAGAGGGAGGGAGGGAGGGGGAGAAAAAGAAAGAGAGAGAGAAGTTCATGAACATAATTTGTAAATAAAAATATACATAAAATACAAGCATTCTCAACCGATTGTCCGAAGTCAGTGTTTTAAGTATGGATGGTGTTGAAAACTCTAGCAGAAACATGATATAAACAAAATTTTAAGATGTTAATCTGGGAGTGGAGGTTTAGTGAGGTTCAGATTGATAGGGAGGCTTAGAAGCTGATGGCTGGGATACTTTAATTTGCAACAGGGGTGATGCTTTATATTTATACATGGGATCTGATTCCATCCACATGTCAACCCTGTGAAGTCAGGTCAGGAAAGGCATTATCTCCTTTTCACAAGGAGTGAATGGAGACTTGGGTTGGGATTCTTTCCTGAGCTCGCTCGGGTAGAAAGTGACAAGGCCAGTATTCCCATTAGGCCTGTGGCTCTACGGTCAGTTCTCTGTTAAGACACCCAGTAAATATATTTGAAAACATGAAGTGCTTACTCTTGGCTGACATTGTACTAGGTAATGTGGCAGCATCTGAAAGAGAGGGAAAGTTGCTCCATTTCCACGTAGTCTTTGGTCTGCAACTAGGGACAGTAAACAGATGCCTGTGAAACACTTTACTACGTTTACAAAGCAATGTACTTGTGAAAGCAAAATAATAAATTTAGCTCATAAGAATTCAGGGGGGAAAACTATAAGTTAGAACATTAGTCATTCAAGCAGAGTAGGGTTAGCAGGTACAGTAGGGCTCCTATGATGGTAAGATTCCCAGCTCAAACCGAGGTAAAGAAGGAAATTCACTGGCTCACAGATTTGATAACTACAGGCTTGCAGGGTGCAAAGGAATCTGTCCATCACTCAACACTGTTTTTCTCTGCCTTAGGTTTAGTCCCAGGCATTGGTAATCTGACCACAGCAGCTCCCGGTTAAATCCTACAAACTCAGCCCTTATACTGGAAAAGAAAGCATGTCTTTCCTAATGGCACAAGCAAAGTTAGAGCTCTCTTAAGCCTTGGATTTTGTGCCTGTCTCTGAACCAATCACTGTGGCTGGGGGATGTTGTGCTCTGATTGGCCAGACCTAGGTCACATGCCCAATCTTAGGTAGGGGTGGTATCAGCCCCATCAGAATAGCATGGGCTGGGTAGGGAGAGGGTTGGTTCCCCAGAGTAAAATAGAGGTGTCCCCACTAGAAAGGAGAATGGCTGCCAGGACGTAAAACAACAGGATCATTACAACAGGATAAGATTCCTGAAGGAAGTAATTGTAAACTTTTGAGTATTTGAGTTAGTCTGTTTTTAATCTTATGGAATTCTGGGAGAGAGTAGGTGGAAGAGATTCATGATATGCAGGCAGACCCTGCAGAACACTGATTTGAGTTTTTACACTTCACTTTTCCTTTCCTTTAAGTCTTAAAGACACTATTTCTTCAAGCAGGGATGCCCTGAGCTGAGACTCACCATCTCCTTAATGTACCTTTTCTGGTCTCCACCCTCCTGAAGGTCTTCCTATCTCTGGAGCCCCCAGAGTCATCCTTTCAAACCCTCTCCCAGCCACTCACTGGCCTTTTGTGGTGACTTCTCCCCTTTAGAGCTGCCTTTAGTGACCTAATAATAACCTGTTATCGAAGATGCAAGAGACAGTCCTCAGCCCTTCCCACTCATCCGGGCTCCCCAGGTTTGGCCCTCTCCTCTTTTTAAGTGTGAATTTCCTCCTTTCCACAGGTTTTCAATTCTCCCATTAAGAAATCCCATCCACTTTCTATATTATGATTCAGCAATCCTTCATCCCATGTTCTTATCCCTGCCTTCCATCAGTCATATCTACAGGCCCTGCTGGCCCTCTGTGGGACTTTGAATTTTAGAGAATGGTCACACGTTGCAAAGTCCTACTCTAGAAGGCACAGCACTCCTTTTCCTGCTCCTCCAATGGCCTTTATCTCTCCAGGCTTCCTCTCCTGTAGCTCTGAAGCAGAGATGATAAGCTTCCCAGAGGAAGGCATTTGCAAAGTGCTCTGAGTGCTCTGATGAAATTGATTGGGTAAATGGAAACATATTTTTTGCAACTGCCTTAGCCTGTAAGAAAAATAAGTTATGTAAATGCAATGATTCACCATTTAATAAATAATGAAGATTGTTTTATAGCTTTAAATGTTATTTCACAACAAGAGATTTTTTTCCAACATTAAAAAACCAGAATGGTTGATTTGAAATGTTTAAAAAATAAATAGTGCTTGATATTTTTAAAGCAGTACTTCATGATCAATGATTGAATTAAAATTTTGTTTAATTTTTCTAGCTTCTCTCCTGAAGGGTTTGAAACATGCCAATATTGTGCTGCTCCATGACATTATCCACACCAAAGAGACACTGACATTCGTTTTTGAATACATGGTGAGTTGCCCCAGCATTTTATAAAGCATAAGGGAAAAGCCTGGTGCTTGTGTAATGAATCTGTTAATATTTTATGGCATGATAAAACTTCCATTACAATGTGGAAAGTGTCATGGAACTTTTCATTATTGTATTAGTGGAGCCTATTGTTCTTATGCTCATTCTTTAGTCCTGCTCCTTTACCCACTATATTTGCTGCCTTTTCCCCCACCTCACCAGCAATGATAAACATTTTGAGTTTGCCTCCTAAATAAAACTTTTTGCACTTATTTTTTTAATCTATTTTTAATCACTATCCGAGCAGAACCCAACATTTTTTCATTGACAATAAAGACATAAACCACAAGGTTTTAAAAAATTGTATACAAGTTTACTAAAGAATAAACTTGTATACAAGTTTACTAAAGAATATATATATCATTTTGTATTTCTGAAAGAAAAAATTGTTCAAATATTAGCAGAAAGGAATCATAAGGCATGTGTACCTGACTTGCCTCCAAGGACACTGAAGAGTACAAAATCCCCATGTCATTGTGTTCAGGGGCAGTCACTTAAAATGAGCCTCTCTTGTGCCGAGAAGCAGGCTTCCTTCTAAGAGCTTCCAGTTAGGAAGGCACACTGTGTTTGACTTTAACAGTGGTGTCTCAGAAAACCTGGTTGTGTACCTCTTGCACCTTATTCTCAAAAATTCTGAATTTTGTAATACCTTTGAGAGTCAAGTGTGTGGTCTGCTTTGTGACACTGACCAAGCACTGCTAATGTCACTCTCTCCACCATTTTGTGTAGCACACAGACCTGGCTCAGTATATGTCTCAGCATCCAGGAGGGCTTCATCCTCACAATGTCAGGGTGAGTACTTTGAGGGTCGGGACTCTCCTCTGGCTTGCCCACAGCAGAAGAATCTTGAAACAGACTACCATCACAAACTGAAGTTCCATGATACTAATAAGAAGATGGATATCATTGATATTCTAGGGGAAAGTAAAAAAAAAAAAGATTTGCCTCAAGATATGGAGCAATGTCTGGCTGTTTTCTGGGCAGCCTAACCTTGTCAGTCATTGTCATCATGCAAATGTGTCTTTAGAAGTATAAACCAATGACAAAGAATTGCATTACAAGAAAAAATGTGAAGTTAGGCCATCGTAAAATAAATACGTTCTTCATAGCAGACTACTGTGGTCTGTGATAGTTTGTGTTGTACCTGTAGTTCCCCACGACAACTAGCAAACAGAGTACCTTGTTGGATCTTTATCGGTTATCCTTTTGCCTGTTCTATCAGATCCGATTATATATGGGACCAACTTCCATTTTTCTAGTCATTGGACTAGAAATAATAATAAACTCTTAACTAGCTGTAATTCTACATCTGTTATAAATTTTAGAAAGCATTTGTATTTCATACTTTTCATTCCCTAAGGTTTTATTGGCATTAATTAATAGACTGGCCCTTAACATAACCGTATGAGATTTGTATATGATGTACTCATTCATTTAACTAATATTTATGTGTTTATTAATTCATTCATTCAAGAAATATTTATTGACTACTTAGTGCCATGTTAAATACTCATTCATTTAACTAATATTTATGTGTTTATTAATTCATTCATTCAAGAAATATTTATTGACTACTTAGTGCCATGTTAAATCCTGAGGTTTCAATAATGAATAAGTTGTGTTTCTTATTTTCAATGAGCTAAAGCCCAGCAGGATATATGGACTTAAATAGGTAGTGAGAAGAAAAGTTATAAGGGCTATGGCCATGTTAACTAGGAATACTCTGAGGACTCATCGTAAGGGGACCTAATCCAGTTGTGGAGGCAAGGGGGAAAGGAAGGTTTGAAGACAGGGGTTTGAAAAGAGTGAAAACATTTTAAAATAGTTAGAGGAAAATGAAATAGAAAACTAACTAGGGAAACCAAGAAGGAATGTCTAGTAGTGTGTTAAGGATGCTGGTGAGGATGAAATCCATTAAATTATCTGCATGATCATGAGATTTCTTTCTTTCTTTCCTTCCTTCCTTCCTTCCTCCCTCCCTCCCTCCCTCCCTCCCTTCTCTCTTTCTTTCTTTCTTTCTTTCTTTCTTTCTTTCTTTCTTTCTTTCTTTCTTTCTTTCTTTCTTTGTTTCTTTCTTTCTTCTTTCTTTCTCTCTGGCAGTGCTTAGCAGTTCAAATAGAGGAGCAGAGAAAGCAGATTGTTGGATTGATTGATAATTGGGGTTTTGCTAGACATGTGAGAGAAAAAGACAAGTGGGCAAGATATTTGGCAATTGTCAAGAGAGAGGTTAAAGGGATGGTCAGAGGCTTCTAAACTGAGTCTAATCTGAGGGAAGGAAATGAAGATAGGCAGGTTGCTGATAGCTAGGGAGAGGGCAGAAGAGTCAAGGAACTAGAGGTTTGATTAAATAGAAGAACAGTTGGAGAAAGAGTAACTGTGAGAAAGATAGAACATTTTCAGGCTTGAGTGACTCTCATTCCAAACACTGTGCTAAGTGCTTAGCAAAATAGAAAGACATAGAAAACATGATTCCTCAAGGGACATAGAGCCAAAAACAGGAGATAAGACATACACACCAATACTATTACAGGACATTTGTGAATAACACCAAGTAAGAAATAAGACCTAACGTGTAGACATGCAAAGAAGTAAAAGATATCTTCTCATTTTAAGAGGTTTTAATAAGCCAGACCTTTAAAGTTACAATGCATTTCAAGAGGCTAGAATAGGGGAAGATGTTAGAGGAAGAAGGAATGTTTTCAGCAAAGGTACAGAGCAGGGAAGTAGAGGATGCATTCAAGGAAGAGGACCCCAGAGCCATAGATTGTTAGTGTTGAAGGGACCACAGTGTTTTTCACTCTTCAGGTTCTGACCCACTAGTGGGCTGTGAAATCAGTTGGTGATTAGCAACCAGCATTTAAAAAAATGAAATGGAATGGATGAGAAAAGAATAGAAAATATTATGGTATATTACATTTAGTAAGAATAAGTATTATTTTGTGCAACTTTTTTTCCATTTGAAGCTGTGCTTCTATCTATGTATGAATGTGAAAACTGGAAACATATATATTTCTTAGTGGGGGATGCAATAAAAAAAAAAAAAAGGCTTAAAAACACTGGGTTGGTCTAACTTTCTTTTTCTGAAGAATTAGAATCCAAGGTTTGAAAGGACAAATGTTTTGCCTGAAGTTGTAGAACCAGCTTTTGCGATTGCTAAAAAGGATTCTTGGTTAAGATTCTTTTCTACCAGTGCCATACTGCATCTCTGGTCCTGTTGGCCTGAAATAGAGACTATCTTAGTGAAATGGAGTATATTATTCTGGAGAAATAGATTGGGTAGGTGGCTGAGAGCCTTACTTTCTAAGATGTGGACTTTATTCCTTAGACAGTAGAGTCATTAAAGGGGTTTGATTGAAAAAGAATGACACGATCAGAAGGAAATGTATGTAATTGTGGTCTGTGGGATGGATTAAAGAAAGGAGACTAGAGTCAGGGATTCCAGTTAGGAGTTTATTGATGTGGGCTAGCCTAGTGCCTCTCAAGCTTCAGTGAGCAGATGAATGACCTGGGGATCTGATTCAGTTAGTCTAGGGTGAAGCCTGAGCTTTGCATTTCTAGCATACTCCAAGGTGATACAGATGCTGCTGGCGGAGGACCAAACTTTGAGTAGCAAATTTCTAGGTAAGAAGTGATAAATTATGGTAGTGAAGGTACAAATAGAAAGGAATGTGAAAAACAAAAACAAGAGTTCAGCCAGGACATGGTGAATAACTGGGCTTGTGGAGGGAAAGGATGAGGTCAAACATGACTGATTTGAGGTGTGATTTACCTGGAGAATTATAGCTCTATTAACAGAAATAAAAGAAGTCGACTTAGAGAGAAGGCAGAAGAGTCCTGTTTTAGACATGATGAGCTTCTCATTGAGGTGGGATAGCCAGAGGAAATGAACAGCAGGAAACTGAAGAGGAGACTGGTTCTCAGGAGGAAGGTGTATGCTAGAGATGTAGATTTGAGCGTAACTGATGCATGGAGTTTGCAGTTAAAGACGAGAGAGTGGATAATCAAAAGAGCAAACACAAAGAGAAAAGAACCGATGTTAGAACTTTTGCTTTTGGGGGTGAGAAGAGGAACAGGACAGCAAGGGGCAGAGGGAAGCAGCTTTTAGGAATATAGAAGATCCAGAAAAATGCATTTTTATGGAAGTCAAGGCAAGAGACAGTTTCAAGGAGGGCATGGTTGAGAGTGTCACAAAGTTGAAAATCATATTTGATAGCAAGGACTTTGTGGGTTTGTAAGGGGTACACTAATAAATAGAGGAATTTATTAGGGGTATATGGAAGCACAAAGGAAGAAGTTATCCAATCAAAGCAGATAGGACTAGGGATGTGTTCCCCACAGTAGAGGCAGCAGTGAAAATGCTGGGATGCCAGGGAGAGTATGGTATATTCCAAGAACTGAAGATAACTTAGGAGTTAAGCCTGGATTAGAATGAACAGAGTTGAGGGTGGTTAGAGCTGAGACTTGAAAGGTAAGTAGGAGCCAGAGCATAAAGGGCCCAGCTGTGTCATGCTATTCCATATGAGGAGCCATTCAATCATTTTAATAGGAGGTGATAAATTCAGATTTCCTTTTTGTAGAGCTCATTCTGATGACACTGTGGTGAATAGATTGGAAGGTGAGCAATACTGTTTTTTTTGAAATGTTATGGTCTCCTGACCTCACTCTTCCCTTGTTTTTTCTCTACTCCCACCCCATACTCTCATTTCCTCCAGTCATTCTCTAAATGCTGGTGTCCATTAGGGTTCCAACCTTGACAGTGAGGCTAATGAGGACAACAGTGGTGCAGATGTGAATTGATGGTGGAGGAAACTGGATATATGTGCAATTAATTACTTGGCCAGAATTAATGGAAGAGTCAGCAATCCCTTTTCTAACTTTAAGTAATTAGGTGGATGATAGTGCCATTCACTGAAACAGAGAAATGGGAAAATCGATTTTGGAGGGATACAGTGAGTTAAGTTTTGGCATACTGAGCTTGAGGTGATTATGGGATGTCCAGGTGAACTTCAGACTATAGGGGTGTAACAGTTCAGGAAAGAGATCTGAGGTGGAGCTAAAGACTTTTAAATAATCAGAATACAGTTGTTAATTGAAGCAATGTTAGTGGATAAGATGGCTAAGGGAGCATGTAAAGTGATAATAGAAGGTCAAGGATGGAACCCTAAGGAATATCAATATATTAGACATCAGTAGAGAAAGTGGAACCTATAAAAAGAACAGTCAGAGAAGTAGGAGAAGAATTAAGAGATTGTGGTACCAAAATGGGGAGAGAGCTTCAGGAAGGAAGACGGTCAACAAAGCCAGATGCTGCAAAGAGAAGGAGTGAAAGGTATCCATTGGGTTTTTGTAGCAAAAGACATTGGTGACCACAGTAAAAACATTATGAATAAAGTGATTGTAGCAGAAGCCATTTTGTAGGGGGATGAATTTCACATTTCAGAGGAAAAACAATTCCATATGATGGCAAGGCCCAGTGTGTGACCATGGGGAGTGAGGGGCTAAAGTGTGTTAGAGAAGCAGATCGTCGGAGTGTGGAGGGTGACTGGACATGTCCACATGGGCACTGATGTTAGGGAAGCAACAGCTGGGATCCGGGTGCCCAAGTCTTGAGTGAATGATGGAGAACGGTGGGGAGTCGTGTGGATGACAGTGAGAAGAGGGATAGAGGAAGATGTGGCTCAATGGCATGAAAGTCCAAACAACAAGGGTTTTTACTTGAGGGTGGAGAAGCAATGGTTTTGAAGTGGTATTGGGAAGTCACCCAGCACCCCACCTCGCAGTAATCAAAGGTATGAGCAAGTTGTAGAAGAACTAACATCCCCTTGAGAATGCTGTAGGGAAGCAGTGAACTCAAGGTCTAATTTAAGCCAAAGGAGACAGAAGGAAGTTCATCAGAGGGTGGGTTTTAGGAAGTTTTAAAACCAGGATTGAGGAGTGAAAAGTGAACAGTGAAAAGGTTTGGGGGAGAGAGGGACGATGGATGCTGGGTTAAATGAGAGGAAGCAGAGAGCAGTATGGAGATGAGCTTTAGGGAGGAAAAAGGAATAGTCAGAGAGGCTTATATTTTTAGTGACCACAGAAGACAGGATGGGAATCATAGTGAGATTAGCCTGTGTCAGATTTCTAATAGAACAAATCCCAGGAATTCCCTCGTGAGTGGAAGGACTCGGGCTTCCCTGGAAGAGTTGGCTGACTGATCTGATTGTGTTTTTGTGGGACTCCTAGCCCAGAAGGTACTAGCCCAATGGAATTATTTTGTTCCCAAGAGCCTCATTGTGTTGGAAACAGGACTAACCCCTGGGCTATGGGAAACCCCTCTGGAAAGAGTCACGATGTGGATGGTGACTGAGAAAACACCATCAGATTGGGTCGTATTACTGGTGAAGTTTTGGCAGTGGGAAAGGAGGAATACAGGTTGTAAGGGATTAAAGAGTAAGTGGCTGGTGAGGTTACTCGGCACACACTGCAGTTTTGACAAGTGTGGCTATGAAATCCCATACCTTAAGACTGCAGTGTTTTGCCATTTACAAATGCTTGTAGACATGCGGAGCCAGGGAGGAAAGGAGCTAAAGAGCAAGAAGGTGAGCGGCAGGTGTGTGACTAATCAGTGAGACAGTCTATGCTTGGGACGTGAAAGGGATTTCAGGCTGGCCCACTATGAAGCTCTGTCTCTGACTCAGCTAGCCAATTCTCTCCTTCCCTGTCAGGTTTTAATTTTCTAACTTTTCTCTGGTTTCTCAGGATGGTGTCATGGTGTCAGGCAGGTCTGAATTTGAGACCTGGCCCTGACTCTTTTTAGACATGTTTTTAATGTTTCCCTGAGCCTTATTTTTCTTATATATAAATCGAGGACAAGCGTATCTTCCTCACAGGGTTGTTTTGAGGATTACAAAAGGTCCTGGGTATTCAGTACATGTTTTTTCCCCTCCCTTCCTTCTGTCTCTGTCCCTTGCTGGTCACCATCTCTCTGTCTTCTGTCTCTCACCTGTCTTCATCTCCCTCTTTCCTTACTACTATCACACTGAAAAACATATGTTTAAGCACCTACTATGGCATTTTATCTTTTACCTGGAATTTAAGTTGGTCCTTTTTATTGTCTTTTCCATGAACATTTATGTTTATAACCGATCAGAGGGTTGAAATGTCGTTATGGGATTTTCGTGCTTTGGCAGCTGAGTGATGTGATGAGCGGTAAAATGAATAATACAGTGCGTGTGTTTGAAGCACCAGGAAGAGAAAGAACTGGGATGAGAAAGACTCATAGAACCAGTGAACATTTGAAGTAGGAGCCTCAAGAAAATGTTAACATTCTTAAACGGCTTGGGGACCCTGATATGGGAACTGCATGGAGCCCATGCAGCCACAGCTGTGCAGTGGGGGGAGGTAAGCTCCCCAGGATCCTGCTTTGGTCAGACCATGGCACTCATCAACTTGATTCCAACGTGTCCAAGTCATTGTTAGGTCATTGCAGGTTCGAGCATCTCTGAAGTTCCTAGTTTCCAAGATGTGAGGGAAAAAGTGGATTTATCTGCATGGCTCTGCATCTACTATTTTGCCCGTGTCCCAGGAATGCTGGGGCTGGCCTTGTCTTTTCAAAACTGCCAGAACATGTTCTCAGTTGGCATAGGTCTTTGTAAACAGTAATGTTGGTGTTTGAATTCTCAGTTGCCAGTGGCACTGGAAAATAGCAAAAGACACTTGGAATACTAGCATTCTTTTTTTTTTTCCTTAAGCTTGTGTTTTGGTGGGAACCTAATAATGTCTTTCGTTCCTCTGCCTTGTAACCACAAGCAACATTTTAAAGTTTAGGCCTAGAATGTATTTTTCCTTTTGTTACCCCCCACCCCCTTTTTTCTTCTCTATACTATTTATTCCTTATTCTCTTTTGATTTTTTTTTTTTGGTCTAATTTATTTTGGTATCTTTTCCCTCTGAATCTCTACTGTATATTTCCCTTGTTTTCACTTTGAACTTAATACTTTAAAAATTCGTTTAAAAAGATAATGGTTCCTTTATTTCCTAATTCCATCTAAGGATATATTTCCCAGTCTGGTCTCCCTGTGTTCTGTTTTTAAAAGGGTTTTATATCAGAGAGCCTGGAAAACTTAAGCAGTTGTAAATGTTAGAATATCATTTCCAGGTCAACTTTGATCTTATATGCCAAGTTCATCAGTGGGAAAAAAATTAAATCTTTCACATCTAAATCAATAACTAGTGTTCCAACGGAAACTTCAAAGTTTCACTTTAGATTTTTAAGGAAAGGTAATTCCTTCAGTGTCAAAGAAATGAGATGTCAGGAAAAGCCAGAATCCCTTTGTTTAGGACATGGTCTACTTACTTGACTTTCCTGGTCCTTCTTTTCCTGTTCAAATGCAAAATCTTCCATTTTTTTTCGTCTCTCAAGAGACCCTTTTACTATATTCTTTCAGATGACTGTTTTTGATTTAGAGGAGAAATCAACACATAGTGGCTCAAATCTGCTTAGATAAGGTGTTCATTCCTTCCAGCTTTTCATGTTTCAACTTTTGCGGGGCCTGGCGTACATCCACCACCAACACGTTCTCCACAGGGACCTGAAACCTCAGAACTTACTCATCAGTCACCTGGGAGAACTCAAAGTGGCTGATTTTGGTAAGTCGCCTCCCGAGTCTCTTCCTGGGCTATGAACAATGATGCTTTTGTGTGCACGTGTTTAAAGCATCAACTAGGGCTGGCTTTTGAAAAGTGGGAACCGGGGAACATGATGCTTTGTCAGGATTTCAAACAACCATATAGGAAGATTGAGGCAAGAAATAGGATGAGATTGGTAACTTCTTAGGGTTCCATCAAGCCTCAGTCTAATCAGATCCTAAAACTTGGTTACCCCTACTACCTCACTGCCATTTTTGATGTAAAGACTTTTGTAGAGTGAACGTACTTGGTAGGTTTACCTAAATCTAGGTGGATGTACAAATTCCATCAGACTAGATCAAAGTTATCCCAGGATGACATGATAAAGAGGTTAAGCCCAGATTGTAGGATGGACTCCTTCTGGAATGGAGGCTCCAGGACACCTGTTCCTGCTCACCTGTGTATCTATATAGTGGGACTGTATGGGTACCTGAGGCTTTTATTCTCATCAAAGTGATGCAGATTTCCCCTGAGTATCACTGTGTCTTTCCATTTTAGCACGTATCACAGTTTATAATTATACATATATACACACATATATACTTCTGTGATGATTCTGTCTCCTCCACTAGACTATAAGCATTATGAGGGCAGCCTGGATCCGTTTTTGCTTATCATTATATCCCTAGTGCCTGGTACCATAGCAGTTGCTCAATAAATTTTTGTTGAAAAACTGGTTCTGTATAAGCTGAGGAACCACTCTTCTCTGTTTGGCAGATGTCAAATGATGCTACTACAGCTGCAGTAAGCCTTTAACAGACATTCATTTATCAAATTCCCCACAACAGTGAACTCATCTATTCAGGTTTTTTTCTAGCTGTAGATCACGTGATCCAGTGAGATAAATAGCTAACTGATGAAAGTACTCTCATTTTGTAGAGGAGCACTTGAGAATGATCCAGCTAAGGTCCTGCCAAATAAGTAATGTGGATCAACAGCCCTCACCCTGTATCTACTAAACTGGGAATTCCTGGACTGCAGAAATGGAGGGTGGCCCTAGTAGTAGTGAATCGATTTTCCATTGCTGTTACAGAAAGCCCAAATTACAGAGGTGTATACATGCTCGAAGCTTCACGTTCTCTCATGTAACAGTCTGACCTAAGCAGTCAGAGCTCTGTAGTGGCCCCATGGTGTATTGGTCCACTCTCCTTCTGTCATGAGGCCCCACCACCCCTAGGTATTGCCCCACGGCCTATTTCAAGATGGCAGCCACTACAGCCTGGAGGAAGGAGAAAAGAGACCAACACTTAACCCCTCCATGAAGTTCACACATCACTTCTATTCATATCAAATAGGCAAAAATTTAGTTGCCTTGCTACACTTAGCTGCCAGGAAGCCCACATCTAGCTGCAAAGTAGGCCAAATTTTGAGAAATTCATTTGATAAAGAGGTACGTAAGAATCAAGATAGTTGAGTAGCTCTATTAAAAGCACCAAAGTTTGTGTATTATTTTTTAAATGTTGTTTACCCTGCCAATTATACTCTCCTTGGCAGACTGTATCACTGTGGCTCTCCAGAAGGTCTCAGGACAGTGAGTTCTGTGCTTTCCCCCTTCGGTCAGGTCTTGCTCGGGCCAAGTCCATTCCCAGCCAGACATACTCTTCAGAAGTTGTGACTCTCTGGTACCGCCCTCCTGATGCCTTGCTGGGAGCCACTGAATATTCCTCTGAACTGGACATATGGTAAGAGCTAGTGCCAAGAAAATGTGAGTCATCCTACCCGTGAAGGTTGTTTTATTACCTGTATTACATTTTAGATAATCATTCTAATAATGACAATCACATTTGTATACAGAAATATAAAGTACTTTCAAATATATATCTCATTTGATTTTTACAATGCCCCTCCTTCTAGCTCTTCTCTTCAATCCTTTGTCTTCTCCCTTGTCCTCAGGGAAACATACATATACTCCCAAACCACACACACACACACACACACACACACACACACACACCTGTCTGCACATGCCCAAACACCGTTCAGAGCCTGGTGAAAAAACCATAAATACCAAGACTCGGTAGACCTGATTTTCATGCCAATATTTCTAATCAGTTACTCTGCATTACGTTATCTTCAAAAAAGCCATGTATCCTCTTTGTGTCTATGCTTCTTTGTTTTTAAAATAAGGGTAATAAACTCTCCCCATGAGGGGTTAAGGGGGACTGTAGTGCAAATGCAAGAACCCGATAGCGGCTATCAAGTAGAGCCACACTGTTGGAGAGGCTCTTGGATCAACTGGGTGCAGTGGTGAGAATGGGCTCTCAGCCACTCATCATCCTGGAGCAGTGGTGTTATGTAATCTGGCTCTGATCCCTGGAAATATCCCAGTCATCTGTGTGGTAAATTTGTAGTCACAGCCACCTCCTCAAAGGTAACAAAATGTATGGGCTTCCTTCAACTCCTTAGATGGTCTTATATAAATAGAAGGCCCTGTTTTAAAAAAAAAGCAACACTAAAAGGCTAAACTAAGCTTTTGAATTTCCCAAAGAATTGAGAAAAGTTGAAGAGAATTTCCTCCAGTGTATCTGGAGCCATTGATTTCCTGATACCCAGTCGCACTTCTTGAAATATCACCTGCTAGTCAAACCCCCCTGAAACTGTCAGCTCTCACTGCTCTGCACTGTCACTTCAAAGGCCTTCAGCAGGCTCTGGCTTTCTCAGCTCTTAATGATCACTTCCTAGTTGTGCTTCACAGACAGTGAAACTTCTTCTCGTCACTTTTAAACTTTGTTTTATTATAGAACATTTAAAACATTCAAAATATATAAATATGTACATCAGTGATTCTTAACCAGGATCAATTTTGCTTCCCAGGGACCCTTGCAGTGTTTGGAGACATTTATTGTCACAGCTGGGTGGTGGTGGGGTGCTCCTGGCATCTAGTGGGTAGAGGCCAAGGATGCTACCAAATATCTTATAATGCACAGGACAGCCCCCTATGACAAAGATGTAACCAGCCCAAAATGTCAATTGTGTCAAGATTGAGAAAACTGATGTAGATTAAAAGCATAGTAAAGTGAACTCCATGAGCCCACTACCCGATGTAACAACCAGAAACATCATCAGTACTGTCACATCCACTCGTGTCCCTTTCCCATCAGCCTGCCCCTCCACCAGAGGGGCTTCTACCCTGAATTTTTTTCCTTGTCGTCATTCCCTTACCCTTTTAAAAAATAATATTTCTACATTTTTATATATTTTAAAAATATTATTTTATTTTACTTGCTTTTGAGTTTTTATAAAAATGATAGTACATTGTTTTTAGTCTTTTGTGACTTGTTTTTTCTTTAACTCAGTGTGTTTCTGAGATTCATCCATGTTGATCTATGTGGCTACACTTTATTTTCTGTTGATGAACATTTCAGTTATTTAGTTTGCCTTTTGTTTTATTTCTTCTTGCTATTTTGAATATACTTGGTACTTATATTTAAGGATATGTCTAGAGTACTTACGTAAGAGTAGATTTGCTGTGTCACAGGGTATATGAATGTTCAACTTCATGAAATAGTGTCAAATTGTTCTCCAAGTGGTTGTAACAATTTATGCACCAGCAGTGTATCATAGTCCCTTACCCACATCCGCACTAACTTCATAAAATCAGATTTCTTAATTTTTGCTAAGTTAGTGGGTAGAATGGTAGCATGTTGTGATCAAATTTGCATTTCCCTAATTACTAATGAGGCTGGATGTCTTTTCATGGATTATTTTCCATTTGTGTTTTTTCTCCTATGAAATACCTCTGTGTGTCTTTTGTTTATTTTCTTTTGGTCTCTATGTCTCTGTGTCTCTCCTTTTCTCTCCCTTCCTCCCTTTCTTTCTTTATTGATTTATAGGAGTTCTTATACTCTGGATACTAATCTTTTTTCAGTTATGAATGCTACAAGCAGCCTCCCCAGTTCATGTTGTCTTTTTAAACAAAAGTTCTTAATTTTAATACTGCAGACTTTATCAGTCTTTTCCTTTATGGTTAGCCCTTTTATTTCTTGTTTTAAAAAATCCTTCCCTCCTTGAGGTCAAAATGATATCCAGTACATTCTTTTAAAAGTTGTAGGGCTTCCCTGGTGGTGCAGTGGTTGAGAGTCCGCCTGCCGATGTAGGGGACACGGGTTCGTGCCCCGGTCCGGGAAGATCCCGCATGCCGCAGAGCAGCTAGGCCCGTGAGCCATGGCCACTGATCCTGCGCAACCGGAGCCTGTGCTCTGCAACGGGAAAGGCCACAACAGTGAGAGGCCCACGTACCGATAAAAAAAAAAAAAGTTGTAAAATTTTTCCTTTCACTTTAAATCCTTAATACATTGGAAATTGACTTTTTCTATGCTAACCCAGTGGTCTCACCCTAATTTCTTCAGCAATCTGCATGCCAAATCTCTCATATATCAGGTTTCTATAAATGCATAGGTCTGTTTTGAGCTCTCTACTCTGTTCTACTGGGGTCAGTTTATCTGTCCCTGTACCAACATCCTAATGTATTAATTTCTATAGCATTATAATAATACTTGATATCTGCTAGGATAAGTCTCACCACTTACTTCATCTTCCTCCTCAGGAGTATCTTGCCTGTTTTTCCCGTTTGATTCTCCATATAAATTTTACACTCAGTCTTTAAAGTTTCATGAAAAACCCTAGTGGGATTTTCATTGGAATTGCATTGAAATTATAGAACACTTTGAGGATAATTAACACCTTTGTAATATCCTCTTCCAATTTTTAAACACGGTATAATTCTCCATCTGTTTAGCTCATTTTTAATGCCGTTTAGTAAAGTTTTATAATTTCCTCTCTAAGCTCTTATATATCTAGAGCAAAGGTCCTTCCTTGTAAGTCTGTTTCTGTTGTTTATTGTTTCTTTTGTTTCTTCCATATGGTATCTTTTTTCCATGTGTGTTTTGTTGTTTTTGCCAATGATATGCTAATTATCCTTGGAATTTTATTTGTGGGATTTTTTTTTTTTTTTGAGGGCTCGGATGAAGTGTGGTCTCTCAGAGAGGATTCGCATTTGATTCTTCTAGGTACATTTTTTAAAAAAGAAATATATTATTGTATTTTACATAAGTGTTGGTCTGCTACTCAGATATTGCTTTCTTAATGCCATTCCCTACTGAAAAGAACTAGGCCTTTTTGGAGAAGTAGCCAATACTGAGGCTGGGTCAGGGAAAGTATAAGATGAGCTGGGAACATCTTGTTAAGCCAGAACATTTTTTAACAAAGTGACCAAAAAATGATGGGAATATGTAAAAAAATGTGGGAAGCAGCTTGAAGAGACTCCCACTGGCCAAAGCTGGTACCTTCTGAGCATCCTAATAGTGAGAGTAATGTAATGTATTATACCACTGAATAACATAAGAATACATAAGTCCATACTGAAGGTAAACAGATAGATGGAGGGATGGATGGATCAACAGCTAGATAGGAAGGGAAGCTCCTTTATACAGTAGAATGCCAAATAATAACTGGAAAAGAAATGACAGAATTAGAAAATCACTATTTTGCAATATAGTAGTAATTGGTTCAAACAAGAAGCATCATAGCTAAACTAGAGGGGAAGATTTGATGAGGAATAAAATATTTATTTACATAGTTTCAAAGTACCTCTCTACAAACTACTTATTAATTACAAAAGAAAAAAATAGTAACTATAGTAGAGAGGCTTGGCAGACATCACCTTAATCAAGTGATTAGAGTTAGTATTGTTGATAATGGCACTGACTGACATCGTGTGCCCCCTAATAGGACACACTGGAGAGACAGTATCATATACGTGGTTCTCCTGCAGAAAAAGAGCATAACCTGAGTCACATCATGAGGCAGCATCAGATCAACTCAGTCTAAGGAACATTCTACGATGTAACTAGACTGTACGCTTTAAAAGCGTTGTAGGGAAGGAAGAAGTTTCCTCTGTCCTCTGAGGTTCAATGGATGGGTCTGTGAAATAAACTGACAAAAGACAGATTAACAGGAGAAAAGCACACACATTTTATTTTATGTTAAAAGTTTTATGTGACACAGGGGAAGTGACTTCATGGAAAGAAGAGACAATCCCCAAAGAAACAGCTAGCCTTGGAGGCTTTTATACCATTCTTACAAAGGACAATACACTTGTAGAGAAGTAACAAGACAAAGGAAAGGGGTTTCTTTTATTATTATTATTTTATTTATTTGGCTGCGTCAGGTCTTAGTTGCAGCACACAGGATCTTCATTGCGGCATGAGGGCTCTTCGTTGCGGTGCACGGGCTTCTCTCTAGTTGCAGCTCACGGACTCCAGATAGCATGGGCTCAGTAGTTGCAGTGTGTGGGCTCTCTAGTTGTGGCACGTGGGCCCTAGAGTGTGTGGGCTCAGTTACCCCCTGGCATGTGGGATCTTAATTTCCTGATCAGGGCACGAACCCATGTCCTCTGCATTGGAAGGCAGATTCTTAACCACTGGACCACCAGGGAAGTCCCGGAAAGGGGTTTCTGGACTCTTTAGGGGTGGTAATTGTGGAAGGTGAATATGTATCTGGAGCACCCTGGTGGTAGATAAGGGTTACTTAGCAAGGTTTGCTTACATAGATTCTTCTTGGTGCCATCTCTACATGTGTTGATAAGGTTATTCTCCCCTCCTGGGATGGGAATGGGGGAATCTTCATAAGGGGGTTTTATGCCCTCCTTTCAGGCAGCTAGGGAGAGGCAAAGAGCTCATCT